ACACCAAGCAGGTGAAGCCAATACATGAAGGAGAAGAGGTAAAAAAAGAATAAAAAGGCAAGAGCCCTGACATATTACACCTGTTCCTGATCAAGATCTCAATTTCTTAATATGCAATGAAAAATTAGGAAATTTTGAGTCAAAGTTGTCTATTGCAGATAAAAGCATCTAAAGTTACACCACCCAAATAAACAAGAACACAGCGTGCGCACACACACACACACACACACACACTCACTCACCCCCAAATAATATCTCTTCTCTAACCAACCCTTGCTGTCTCAAAATCTTCTCCTTTTGTGAGCCATTTTTTAAATTAGGGAATTTTATTTCTACTAGAACATGCATATCTCTTTAAGTCTTTTTATTTTTCTGAAAATTGGTTTAAATTTTACTCAGTATTTTTTTAATCCTTATGAAGTGCTATATACTCTAGAGTCTAGAGTGTGAGCATTTTAAGTTAAGGGAAAGGGCCAATAGACAGAGTGGTCTTTAAGAAATTATGTAGGTCACCATCTTTTTGGACTTACCTCTTTTTCCCCACAGGGCTCATCACGGGCTGATTGGTTCAGCAGGCTGAGAGAGGAACATTATAAACATGCTCAGTGAAGATGAATTTGGCTCTGACATTCTAAGTCATTACTACTTCAAAGACATTTTTACTTTGCCTGCAGGACAGGGAAAGTGATCCATTGCTACCATGATTGAAGTGTACTCCCCTTCCTCTTTCCCATTTCTCTTTTCTTTTAGAAAAGAAAATGTTTGTTTTGTCTACGGCCATACCACCCTGAACGCGCCCCATCTCATCTGATCTCGGAAGCTAAGCAGGGTCAGGCCTGGTTAGTACTTGGATGGGAGAAAAGAAAATGTTTGAAAGAGATGGAAGAGATAAGCTTAATCTATACAATGTAAAAACAGAGTTCAACAAGAGAAAAATTATTTGAACTATCAAATCAAAGTAGAACTAATTTGAAGAACTGGGTCAACATAGACTCCAGGACACAATTGAACCCATTGACCCCTAAAATCTTCTCCAGAAATGATTGCTGATTTGGGAGATGTCACTGAAGCAGGTATGAATGAGCTGGCATGGGAAAGCAGCTCTGGGAAGGCTGCTAGATGTTAGGCCGGTGCATCTGTGTCACTGCTCTCACTGACTTTGAATAATGACACTGTTCAATCCATATGACATCTTGGTGACATGTTGGCACATTTACTGGTTTACTTAAACCCTTAACGATGCAAGATAAGTGATGTGGCTATTATTATTTCAGTTCTCTGAATAAAAAGTAGAGTTACAAAAGGTTAAGTGTTTCATCCAAAGTAATGAAAAAATTATTGACAAGACCAGATCTCTGACCTCTCAACATTATATGTGCTCATTTTATCCCTCTGTTCCTTGACATGGGATTCTGTGCAAAGGCACACCTGAAAGAGCCCAGACACTAACATGGTCCTCTTGGCTTCATTCCCCCTTCTACTACCCACCCACTCTATATAGTCCCAGCAAAAAATTGTGGTGAAAATTCAATGGATACCTAAAAGCCACAGAGCAAAAGTTGGGTGTGGATGTTCACAATTGACAGAGGACACAGATGAATTCATCAATCATGTATTCAATAAGTTTGTATTAAGTTCTTCTCTGGCCCCATCATGTGCTCATCACATTTGGAACACAAGAGCAGCATGCAGAACACTGTCCTCATACTGAAGCAGCTCACACTCCTCTTGGAAGGCAAGACTAAGACTTTTATCCTTCACTGTCTAACTTATGTCATTTAGCATAACAACCTCTGGGTCCATGTATGGTGATAGATGGTTACTGGACTTAGAGTGGAAATCATTTCATAAAGAATATAAATGTTGAATAACTATGTGGTATACCTGAAATTAATGCAATGTTGTATATTAAATGTACTTTAATTTTTTGAAAAATTTTTCTACAAGATTTCTCTATAGATGTTGAAAGCCAGTAGCAATATAAACAATGCTATAACTAATCTACAACTGATAAAATCAAAGAAATCATCACCACAAATAACTAGAATACTGGTCATGATGCAATAAAGCAACCTCCTGTAAACAAAATCAGTTCAACAAAGGAGCATGAATGTGAGGGTAGATGATTAGAAAATAAAACTCTTAAATTACAAGAAGAGAAGAGTAGAAGTATCATTAAAAATGTTATTAGTCAAAAGGATTCCTGTTTTATAGCTAAAATCTAACATTTGAGGTGTACAAAATTCTTATTGTAAATGCAACACAAGGCTAAATCATAATAATGTGAATCAATAACTAATTAGTATTTATAAATGCAGCTACTGGTAAACATATTTCAATTTCATAGCCAGGCAGCTAAAGGATTAACTAACAAAGCCAAAAGTGAAGCAAGGACATGCTTGGTGCTAAACATGAATGCTAACCCAGAATGACTCCACAGGCTAAACATGGGACTGAAAGTTGAATCAGTTGTGTCTGCTACACATACAAGTATAATCCAAAGTCACTGTCTCAGATCAAATCAGAAATTGAACACAGAGTAAGGGTGAGGCTTGAGGTGCTCAAATTCCCACATATGTCACTGGGGAAATAGATCCCTGGATATTCTAGGATGGCCCGAGGGTGATGCATGTCACAAAAGAAAGAGGGCAGGTGGGGAGGAAGCAACCTCACTAAACAAGAATTGACAAATATGTGCTATCTGGGAAAGATTCAAGTTTGCCTGACTTTGGTATAGTTGTGTAAGTTGACTCAAGAAGACAGATGACTTTATATTTGCATGCTTTCCTTTCTTCAGATTTGGCATGTGTTGGGAAGAATATTAAAATGAAGTAGTTAAAATGAGCAAACAATCCAATTTGCCATAGCATCTAATATGTCGTTTCCTGATATGATCTTGTTCACTCCCCAACATGTTTAGTTAGCTGTCGCTGAGGGTGATATGGTTGCATTTCAACCTGGTTGCATTTCTATCAGATGCAGCAGCCTCTTCATTCCCCAAGGACCACCAGAGGAACTAAGTTGTCCTCTGAGGCAAGAGCCAAGGATTAGGAGGGAAAATGAAAAGAATAAAAGACAAGGATCAAAACACATGCAGAAGAGTTGAAGTAGAAAATGGGGTGAGTGAGAAGAACAAGCAGGATTAAAAAGTAGCATGTAAGTGGGAAAAGGTGGGGTTTGGATCCTGCTACTCAGATCCAGGAAAGCCTTGAGCATCACTAGGAAAAAGAGAAGGCCTTTTCCACACCTCCCAGCACATCCATTTGATACAGTTGCCCCCTTTGAGACACAGGCCAGTGTACATACCATTTCATTGTCATAGATTCATTCCAGCAAAACTCTAAAAATCCCTTTAAGGTACACAAAAGTTCCCATTACAGTCAGGGTGCTCTATAGAGGATTTCTCCTAGCATGGCAGACCACCTGCCACGTCAGTTCCCAAGTCTGGCTGGTGTCCCCATATATTGTCTCACTAGATCCCAGGTTCTTTCCATACCTAGACTTGGAGTTTTAGCTCATCTTGGAGGGAGTTAGTTTCAATAAATTAAAATAATAATTAATATTTAAAATTCACTTTTGGAGCCTTTCCGCCTACCTCCTATCCAGCTGGATTTCATTTCTAGACCATCTGCGATCCCTTAGATTGGGTTTGGTCCTAATACCCACTGCTCCCAACAGCACACTCTTCATGCTCCATATCACTTACCACACCAGAACAGAAACTACTCTAGGGCAGAAGGAGTGTCTTTCCCAGTGCCTGCTGCAGTGCCTACACATAGTCGGTGCTCAACAAATAACATGGAATGAACAAATGAATGTTTTTCACCTTTGGAAATGACAGAATTACATTATAGGAGCACAGGCAGCTAATAAGGTTCTCGACCTAAATCTGTGTCTGTGGAGAGTGAAGAAATTCTCCAATTGCTTATCAAAATTAATTTTCCTTAACCCAGGGCCAGCCCTTGGGTTATATAATATTGAAATCACATTTTGTGCCAATCTACCTTAGATTTACTAATAGTTTTATAACAATAGGTATATAAAAAATTGGCTGATTGAGTCTCTCCATCTAAGCTCTGCTCTTCATAAGTTCTTCTCTGTAACATCTGCTATTTCTTTTCTCCTTCCATCCAGTCACAGCCTTCAAGAAACATGTATCCACAAATAACCAAGTGCCTTAAATTATGGCTTCCTCTGCCTCCCCGAGTAGCTGGTTTTCTTATCTCTCTCTCTCTCTCATGTGAATGACTAGCTTGGGCTGGACAGCTCACCCACATAAATTTTCATGTGGATGATCATCCAGTCTACTGTTAATCCTTCTTCACCGTGGTAAAGTATTAAATGTTTCAGGGTTCCTCCAGGTCAAACTGTTGTTCTGCAAGGCATTATGAACTTGTACAAAACACCATTTTTTCCTTATAAGTATTACATAAAATTTTCTTTTTTGAGTAAAAGAAGCCTCTATTTTTGATCTGGCTACATTCTTGCATACAAATCCCTCACAAAATATTTTTCAAATTCCAAGGTTCATTCATTTAATTGAATCTATTCCTAATTTTAATTAAATCTGCATTTCTCTGTTATCTTTGGAAAGATAGAAGCCACATTACCATATTAGAGAGGACAAGATCACAGAGCAAGACAGATATTACAGAGAAGCACAAAATCACAAGGCAGATTTTCTTATAAATTTATTTTTGTACCAAAAAATGTTTTAACATTCAAAGGCAACATTTTTATTGTACAGTATAAAATAACTTCCACTAAATTAAAAAATGGGATTCTTTTGCTGATAAGTCACTGATAACTTTTCCATTTAATATAAAAACAAAATTTATAATTTTCAGCACTTGTAGAAAAACAACCTGTTCAATAATTATATGAATACTGTTGACAGATTCCAGTCATCCATTATGTATCTTTTTTGGCAATGTCAGCTTTCTAAAGTCAATTAGCTTCTAAATTTGAAAGCCACCTGGTGGCGAACATCCAGTTTATTATTCAAGACATCCATTTTAATTTTTTTGCACAGATTTGACAAGTCTGAAAAATCTATTAAGTTAAAAAGAATGAAGAAATATAATACAGTTGATATTAACAAACAGCATTATTTCCCTTAGCTGCAAGTTTCCCCTAGGGGATTTACAAAGTGCACCAGTTAAATATGTCTGTACATTTAAAACATTAAATATGTCAACAGTAAGACATTTTTAAATATTTTGAATCAAATACTATAGCACAAATATAATTTACAATATTTTGCACAGAAATCATTACATCTGAAATATAACTTTAGATATTATATAAAAATACATATATTCTCTCTCCTCACTAGAAAAAAGTATTTATTTGCAGGTTCCAGCATGATGTAACAATTCAAAAGAACATAACCCTTCAGATGGGCATCCATTTGCAATTACATAACAAACATATTCTCTACTTCAGCTGCACAGTCGCCATAACTAAGGGCTAGATCCAGAAGATTAACTCCTCTCATGGCCTAAATGCAGTTTTCCATAATTGCTTCAATCTGGTTGAATTCTGGGAATTCATTAGAAAATTAAAAAACCACTGTGTAAGAAGGCCCTTCAGACTGTAACACACCTTAAGTCCAACATCTTCCTTTGGCTGTAAATACACATGTTCTCTACAGCATCAAAAACTTAGATATAGTCCTCTTATACCATGTGGTCATACCTCTTAGTAGTTTTACACACCTATATACATCTTTCTTGGGTTGTTTAAAAGAATAGTTTCCATACATCCTAAGAAATATATGATAATGCTCCACAATATAATGGTCAATCTAAATCTCGTACTTTAAAAGCCCCAAAGTACGTTGCATCTTGATCTGGATCCAGTAGTGAAGGGTTAGATACCTCAACACTTATTTCCTCACCAGACCGAAACTTAAAAAACCCTCCAACATTTATGGAGTAAAAATGGAATTCAGAATTCCCTGACCAGTATTTGGTGCTTCCTCCTTTCATCAGGATATGAGAACTTGGGATTTTGATGCTGGCTTTAGTGACATACACCATCAGCTGAAGATACTCCGTATCAAGGTCTCCCAAAGTTTCATGATGTCGAAAGCAAATGTTGGCATACAGATAATAAAAGCCATCTTGGTTGACTATTAGTTTTCCATTGCTTAAAGTCATGTTGGAGATCTTGGCCCAACCTCGATCATGGTACCAGGAGGACAACCTTACTTTGTGGGAACCTGAGGAGAGGAGAGGCACATAATTTAAAATCCACCTCTTCAATGACAAGGACATCCTCACAATCCTATGAGGTTGGAAAAGAAACATAGCATAATAGACATTGTTCCAACAGGAAAATAACTTTTCACAATTTATTTTCTAAAAGGGGAGAAATACATTAAGATGTACTTGTGCTCTCTGGTAGGCACTCACTTTTCCTACCTTTCAGGAGCCTACAAGTACACCAGGGATAAATATGGTATGTGTTCAGGTAGGAAGTCAGTCATGCAACCCCGATAGGAAAGGTGCAGCTAATTGCTATGGGAATTTGAAAGAAGGAGAGATGGCCCCCTAGAGCAATCAAGAACAACTTTGTTGAGTTGCTACTGAGCCTGAGAACTCAAAGGAGAAATAGAACTCAGCTCACAGAAGCACAAAGTCATTCAAGGTTGAAGAAAGAGAACAAGCCGAAGGCAGTTGAGAAAGGATGCAGAAAATAAGGAAAGGTAGAGAACTTTCCTGCTTCACAGATTCCACCTTCTCTTTCAATTCATGGAAATGGTATGTAGAAGGAGGTGAAAGTCTGGATCACAGTAACTTTGACCAAAAAGTCAAATTCCTAAAACTCTATTCTCATTGCTGATTTTCCCCTCCTCCAACAATCCAAATGCCTCCCAGGCTCGCATGACTGAAAAGATGCTCCCAGGGGAGTTCAAGAAGAAAACATTCCTGCCATTGCACTCCCAGCTTCACAACTTCACAGGATCCTTCATGACCAAAGTGTCACAGAAACCCTCCTGATGGACCAGAATTCCTTTTTAGCCCCTTCCTACCTGAAATGTGGAGACAACCATCCTCATGTTGCTGTTCTGGAGCACTGAAAATTTCTAAAGAATCTTCTAAATCAGCAGTGTGTCCAATGTTTTTAACAGCTTAGGTCTTTAGTGTATTGTGTTAGGTTAAAAGTTGTCAATACCTCTATACCAAATTAATCAATCATTTGTGTTTATGGGGACACCTATTGTTCAACAAGGTATCAACTAGTTGGGGGGGGGGAGTTGTTAAGCTATTGAAAGTACAAAAACACATTTGTCCTCCAAAAGACCTTATAAATACATATGCTAAACTAAGGTTGGCATCTGTTAAGATTTCAATAAGGCAAAACAGAGCTGAGCAGTATAAGACTGGGGTTGGGTTAGCCTCTGCAGCCAAGGCAGCTAAAGAGAAGTTCATGGCTGCCTGCCACCCACAAAGAAACAAATAAGCCCATGATGGGTCTTAGGCTTAAAGTAGATTCCATGGATCCATCAGAGTTGGCAACCCTCTGGTTACAGTGGGATTTTGGGAGATCCTTGCAGCATCAATGACCCATACTGGCTATCTTCCCAGACTAGTCTGAATCCTGGAGAGCCTTGAACACCTGCAGCTTTCTCTAGAGGGCCACAAAAAGGAGAATGCTCCACTGTTTCTGGAGGACCACTAGGTAGCCTGGAATATGGTCTGGAGACCTCAGAACCAGGCTGTTCTGACAACCAACCAGGTGGTTGGGAAAATGAAAAAAAAATGTGCGGAGGCCAAGCTACAGTGGGGCAACCCACGTTTAAGCCTGTGAAGTGAAGGCCTGTAGGATATTATATTTACTAAAATCCACATATCATCTATGGGAGGGTGCCAGAATGAGCCTGAGAAGATTTTACAGGCTCTGCTGCCTCCAGGACCCACAACAACACATACCCTTTTTTACTAGAAGTCCTACCTCAGGTCATCCCAGATTCAAACATTCCAAATGTAAATGCTATCCCATAGACCCAAGTGGGTCCAGGTGCGACTACAAGACTATTCATCACATCCTCATAAGTACCAGTAAAGTAATTTTGCCAGACTGATAAATAGCTACACAATCCCTTGGCAAAGCTAACAAGATTAAAGATGTTTTCCACCTCAAATTATCATGTTTCTTTCCTTCTCACCCTTCTCCTGAATTCAATTCTTACACAATCATTTGTCTTATAGTTTATCTCCTATGACAGCTGTTAGAGAGAAGCAGAATGGCAAAGGTGAAGTCTGCCCCCTCAATGGGATGAGTCCACTAATGTTAAACCAAGCACTCAGAGATATGGCCTTGCAAGGGAAGAAAGGAACATGAACTGGAGAGGGGAGAAGATGGGACCCTTGACTACACACCACACCTACTGTCAGCTAAAGTCAGTTGGAAGGAGTGTCATTTCCTATGAAACACATCTCTGTTTTTATTCACTCATTTATCCACTCACTGATCAATTTAGTTGATCAACCATTCAATAAATGATGTACTTTCTATGGGCATTCCACTTGCCCATAATTGAGAATTCTATTAAGAGGTATACCCTCATGGCAGTAATCACCAGCAGTGGAGAAAACTAGAACTGGGCATATAAAATGAAAATATAACATTTTTGTTTCTGCATGTCACATAGCCCATGGTGAAGTTCAATTGAAGCAATTGACAGTGAAAGCTCCAGAAATTAACAGCAATCAGGAGAGGTCAGCCAAGGGAAGAAACAAAGGAGCCAGAGCACACAGAAGACTTGGATAAAACTTAGGTGGGCTGAGAAAAGACAGAGTATTGTCAGTGAGGCAAACTGTTCGAGTGAAGGATGGAATACACACAGTGCACAGAGGTGAAAGGATGACTCCTGAACAGACAACAGTGGGAGACAAGATGAAAGATAATGCCTCAGTCACGCTGAAGGGCCTCTCATAGCAAATTTGGGTTTACATCAGTGATGAGGCATGCTGATGACCTCTCATCCCAGTTCCCCAGTCCTATGGTCACAGATGTTAGGTTGGAGAAGGGGCCTCTACAAATTTTTAGCCTGAGGATCCCCATAAAGAAAGCCACATATTCTGACCTCACAAAACACTTTTCAGTGCATTTCATTCAAAAAGTGTTGCCAATCCACAAGCTAACAGTCAATAGAAGGAAGATTCTGATTTTTCTTATGTGTAATTAAGTATTAAGCAGAGGCCCAAAGTGAACATGCAAAATTAAAGCCATCTTCCTCTGAAATATCTAGTACTGGCCAAAACTGGGAGATAAAGATAAATTGGACTCAAAGGGCTGTTGGTTCAGCCAGAGGAGGAAATTCTATTTTCTTAAAGAGAAGCATACACTACCATATTTCACTCAGTCTCAAACTCAATAACCATTGGAAAATAACCAGAAATTTTGCCTTGTTTTTTGGCAATGATTTGATGCTAGGTGCCTGGAGAGAGAGCTTTGAAAGTAAAACATGCCTGTTATTGCCAAACAGTCTTTGGCACACAGTCTAATGCAATATTTATCATATACCCTATAAAATGAACTGAAGAGATAGATGCAGAGTACATTCATAGCACACACAGCTGATACATCCATATACATTTGATTGCCTTTGCTAACATGCAAATAGTTTTATACTCAGAAAATTAGTGTAGCTCCACCATAAGGCACATACATGCATACACAGAGAAAATTTGTTTATGAAGCAAGCACCTGTAACAGAATGAATAGTTTAGAAAAATCTTCTGAAATCTAAAGAGTCAGTTTCTCACTTTCTATGTCTGCAGTCAGGAAAAATCACTTCATAGTTCATGTTATAATGATAGTGGTTTCAAAATTGTTTACTAAAACCTGGATTTTTTTAATTCCAATAAATATCTGCCTTAAATAATTTTTAGAACAAAACAGAATATGTATAATTATTTAATTAAACTCAAATAATAATAACAAATTGTGCTCCCTGGGCACTTACTAAATGTCAGTTTCCACGTAGGAATGTTAGTGCATTACCTCATTAAATCTTCCTAGCTACCATGAGGTAGATACTATCACCATCCCAGTGAAGAAACTGAGGTAGAAATGATTCCAATAACTTGCACAAAATCACACAGCCAGTAAATAGCACAGTGGGGCCACAAACTAGTCAGTCAGACTTAGAGTCCCTGCCTAATAAAACTGCATCAATCTACTTTTCACAGAAAAAAGAGGGACATAAGAGCTTGAAATTTATTTCCCTCTGACAAATCCAATTGGCCACAAGGTAATTAGATAATAACCTATAACATAAAAAGCATAAACTTGGGAATCAACTAGAGTGGAATTTAACTTCTAATCCTGCTACCACTGTGACCTTGAGCAAGTAAACTACATGGACCTCAGTTTCCCTGTCTGCAAAATCTCAATGATAATCACTACCTTGCAGGGTTGTAGCAAGGATTAGAGATAATGAATATAGAATAAAATGCCTGATATACATAGTGTGTATCAAATAAATGGCATAATAATAATAATAATAATAATAGCAATAAATGCTCAATTGTCACTCTATCATAGTGTTCTTTGTGATCTTTTTGATGCTCCAATATCCCAAAAGTAAGCAGAGAGGATTATATGAGGAAATGGCTGGGGCATTTAGGTACATGATGCCACAGAGCTCTGGGCTTCCTCATTTCCAAAACATCATCAGACCTCTGTTCACTGAAAGAGGAGTATGTTTCATTTTCTAGGGAAATATTGCCTCTTAAATATCACTCTGTCGAGCCCATACCTAGAACTCTGCAGGAGATGGTTGAGTATATGACTACCTGGATGACTTCATGCATGTCCCAGGTCATCAGTGGGGATGTGTCACCTTTAGCTTGGGTAAATATAGATGAGCATAATAAGGGATTGTTTTTTCCAGTTATGCAATCTCAATTGGCAATCATTTAAAATAAACGTATTCTGATGATCTGAAAATGAATATAGTGGTGATGTCCATTCTGGCATGACTGAGAATCATTTAGTCTTCACTAAACAGTGAAGACTAAATAATCTTTTCTCTGATCAAGAAGTTAAGTGTTCTCAGAAATTTGGTAACAGGCTAATAATAGTTCTGAGTAATCAAATTGGGCTGATAAATGACTCTTGAAATATTTTTTAAGCTGGAGACAAGTGCAACTTACCTGATGGGATGTCACTGGCATTAATAGTAAGATGAGCATAAGGTTGAGTATCAGGCTTGCTCCTCCTGGCCAGATCTAACCATGAACCTTCCACTGTAGCTGGATATGAGAGAAACCATGTTAGCCCCAAGAGTAGTGACCTTATGAGATTTCAGATATTCATACAGAGCCATACTTACGTTTTTCTGCTCGGATGTGTTGAGATCTAACAATATGCTGTAATTCCTAAAATAAAAAGAAAAAATCTATTTATACAAGAATTCAAGACTGTTGGACATACCATGAATAATTCTCTTTCCTTTAAAATATGCTGAAAGTATAATCATAGGGAGTAAAAGTTTTTGATGTTCCAGACAGCTATTTGATATCTGGAAGTTCACCTCAAAGAAAAATGTTGATGTGCTTAAAAAGTATACTGTCTAACAAAATACTGTCTATCAAAATACTTCAGACAATAAAAGGAAAAAAAGACAAGGTAAATTATGAAACACAGAATAATTGAACATAATTAAAAATTTGTAGCAGGTACACATATGGAGATAAAGTTATCTAGGAAAATGACAATTACCACAGAACACAGGACACTCTTGAATCTTTACAGAGGCTCTTTTTATGTCTATTTCATTAGTAAATGTGTGTTATGACACTACAGGAAAGAGAGAGGTACCTTGCTCCCAGTGGTTAGTTTTTACTTTAAAAAGCCATAGTTTGTTTAAGGCACTACATGGAAGTCTAAGAGCTTTTAGACTACCAATAATTAGCTTAAAATATTGCTGTAAACAGGGGTTTAGAAGCATGAGTCAGAAAAAGAAAGAGCACAAGTATGTAAAGAGAGTAGGTAATTGTGTATCTTAATTGAACCCTGCAAATGGAGGATCCAACAAGTGAAAGCGTGCACATCTGAATCATATCCAGCACCACTTATCAAAACTCTCAGCAATGTGGGAATAGAGGGAACAAATCTAAACATAATAAAGGCCATATATGGCAGACTCACTGACAGCATCATACTTAATGAGCAAAAACTACAAGTGTTCCCCTTAAGATCAGGAATAAGACAGATATATCCACTTTCACCTCTCTTATTCAACATACTACTGGAAATCCTAGCCACAGAAATCAGACAAGAAAAAATAAAAGGAATCCAAATCAGAAAGTAGAAGTAAAACTGTCTTTATTGCAGATGACATGATACTGTACATACAGAACCCCAAAGATTCCACTAAGAAACTACTAGAACTGATAAATGAATTCAGCAAAGCAGCAGGATACAAAATTAATATCCAGAAAAAAGCTGCACTTTTATATGCCAATAACAAACTAACAGAAAGGAAAATTAAGAAACAATCCAGCCCTGGCTGGCATAGCTCAGTGGATTGAGCACGGGCTGCAAACCAAAGCATCGCAGGTTCGATTCCCAGCCAGGGCACATGCCTGGGTTGCAGGCCATGGCCCTCAGCAACCGCACAATGATGTTTCTCTCTTTCTCTCTTTCTCCCTCCCTTCCTTCTCTAAAAATAAATAAAATAAAAGTCTAAAAAAAAGATACAGTAAGTAAGACTGTGTACTATAAAAAAAAAAAGAAACAATCCCATTCACAATTGCTTCCAAAAGAATAAAATACTTAGGAATTAGTTTAACCAAGGATATAAAAGACCTGTACATGGAAAATTATAAGACACTGAAGAAAAAAATTGAAGAAGACACAAATAAATGGAAGCACATGCTGTGTGCATGGCTAAGAAGAATTAAGATGATTGAAATGTCCATACTACCCAAAGAAACCTATAGATTCAACACAATTCCTGTCAAGATTCCAATGACATATTTCACAGAACCAGAACAAATATTTCAAAAATTTAAATAGAACCACAAAATGTCCTGCATAGCAACAACAATCCTGAGAAAGAAGAACAAAGCTGGGCCCTGGCTGGAGTAGCTCAGTGGATTGAGCGCGGGCTGCGAACCAGGCATCGCAGGTTCGATTCCCAGTCAAGGCACATGCGTAGGTTGCAGGCCATGGCCCCCAGCAACTGTACATTGATGTTTCTCTCTCTCTCTTTCCCTCTCTCTCCTTCCCTCTCTAAAAATAAATAAATAAAATCTTAAAGAAAAAAACAAAGTTGGAAGAATCACACTACCTAATATCAAACTGTACTACAAGGCCACAGTATTCAAAACAGCCTGGTACTGGCATAAAAACAGACACATAGATCAGTGGAACAGAACAGACAGCCCAGAAAAAAACCCACAGCTGTATAGCCAATTAATATTCAACAGAGGAAGCAAGCACATACCATGGGCTAAAGATAGTTTATTCAGTAAATGGTGTTGGGAAAATTGGACAGATACATATAGAAAAATGAAATTAGATCACCTTCTTACACCACATGCAAAAATAAATTTAAAAAGGATCAAAGACTTAAGTATTAGACCTGAAACCATAAAAATCTTAGAAGAAAACATAGGCAGCAAAATCTTTGCCATTGTTCATAGCAATTTTTTATTGGCTAGATCATTCCAGGCAAGGGAAACAAAAAGAAAAGATAAACAAATGGGACTACATCAAACCAAAAGTTTTTGCATGGCAAAGGAAAACATCAACAAAATAAACCCAGAGAATGGAAGAATGTATTCGCCGATACATCTGATAAGGGGTTAACATCCAAAACTTACAAAGTACTTACAAAACTCAACACCAAAAAAACAAACAACCCAATTAAAAAATGGGAAAAGGATCTGAATAGACACTTCTCCAAAGAGGACATATAAATGGCCAATAGACATATGAAAAGATGTTCAATGTCACTAATCAGAGAAATACAAATTAAAACCACAATGAGATACAGTCTCATACCTGTCAGAATTGCTATCATCAATAAAACAACAAAAAACAAGTGCTGGTGAGGATGTGGAGAAAGCGGAATCCTTTTGCACTGCTGGTGTGAATGCAGGCTGGTATAGCCACTGTGGAAAGCAGTGTGGAGATACCTCAAAAAATTAAAACTGGATTTGCCTTTTGAGCCAGTGATCCCACTTCTGGGAATATATCTGAAGGACCTGAAACATTAATTCAGAAAAACATAAGCATCCTATGTTCATACAGCATTATTTACAATCTCCAAGATGTGGAAGCAGCCCAAGTGTCCATCAGTAGATGAGTGGATAAAAGAGCCATGGGACATTTACAGGATGGAATTCTACTTGGCCATAAAGAAGAAAATTTTGCCATTTGCAACAGTATGGATAGACCTGGAGAACATTATGCTAACTGAAATAAGCCAGTCAGAGAAAGACAAATACTATATGATTTCACTCGTATGTGAAATCTAATGAACAAACAGAACTAACAAGCAAAACAGAGATAGACCCATAGATAGAGAGCAGATGAAAGCTAGTAGTGGGGGTGGGGGTGGTTAGAAGATGGAGGGATGGAGAAAAAAGGAAAAAGGACTCAGACATGGACAACAGTGTGGTGATTGTTGGGGAAAAGGGAGGTGTATAAGGGACTAAATAGTAATGGGAAAAAGTACAATAAAGATTAATTTTTAAAAAATAGCAAAATAAAGAAGAAAGAAATCTTTTTTATTGGCTATGAGGAATAAAGTAAATTGCAAGTAATGGCAAGCTTTTATCACTTGTATTTTCCTAGCACTGAATCCAGAGAAGGATACCATAAAAATAAAGATATTTTGCCTTCCTAAAAACAAAAGATCTTAGCTACCATTAAATAGGTGGAGTAAACAACACTTTGGGCTTTGACCTTGGTTCAAATCCTTGCTCAGCCACCTATTTATGTTGAGGATGTTAATAGCAACTCTATTGTCACTGGTGATTGTGAAGATTCAATGAGAAAATGCATGTAGGCACTTAGCAGTGTCTGTAAATTCATATTTCTAAATACTAGATTAGCTCTGGAGAGACTCCTAATTTCTATCATAGGGATGACCACACATACTAATTAACCATCCCTCATCCATGATGTTTAAAAGATAGACCATATAGTTTAAGTTCTTTGAGTGTCTGAAAGTAATTGCTTTGAAGAAGATGGTAGATAGACACAGTCAGACAGAGATGCAGTGACACAACTTCAAATGTTAACAGTTAGAAGGATTCTAGAAATGAGACAACACTGACTCTTTTCTCTACCTCTAGAAGCCCCGAGATAGATGAGAATCTGTTGCATTTGTAAAGACCCTTGGGGGAGACAGCACAGCTGCCTTTATTTACCTATTCAAAAATCCTAAGGAAATCACAGTGTGACTGACTTTTAGAAAGAAACCTTAGAGGCTCATCCAGGGCCACCTCCTGCCCTTGCTTTGACCCATGGCACTGCACCACACCGCTCTCTCGAGCACCATTTACAGGAAAGTCTAGGCAAATGCTGCCCCTTTGAGTTGTGTAAGGCAGTGGCCCTTACCAGGCATTGTTCTTCTCCCCACACCAGCCGGCTTTTTTTTCTTTCCCCTGCTGACCTCCTATCTCCTAAGTCTCACTCGTAAATTTTGGATTCCCAATGGTATCCTGGTTTCTGGAGTTTCCTGGTTTGGTCTCTCCTTCATTTACAACAGAGATTTATATATGCACAATGTAACTCTATAAATTTAATGTATGTATGTAAAATATAAACATGTATATACACACACACATGTGTTTCCTTATACATTTATAATGGATATATAAATATATAGAATATATTAATATATTTATATATTCTATATATTCTATATATATATTTATAATATATCTATATATTTATATATGTAATATATGTTTACCTGATTATTATCTCTTAAAAAGTTGGAACAGGAACCTTCATGGGAGAGTAATTCAGAGATTTTCTGCCCCTCATTTTCCCTCTAGCTTGGCTCTGCCACATCATCAGAGGGAAGAAGGAGGAGAGGAAAAGGAAGCAAAGTCAAGTATGACATATGCCTACAAATTCCTGTTTCATGCTTTTCTACTGAGAAAAACACACATTACTGAGAAAAACAAGGAAAGAGGCTTTGTGCTAGCTCAGTGGTTTTTAGACTTCAGCATTCTTCACAGTCTCTCAGAGGTCATGTTGAAATAGTTTCTGATCTGGGGTGAGGCCTGAGAATTTGCATTTCTAATAGGTGAGCTGGTGCTGCAGGCCTGGGGCCTCAATTTGGGAGCAGCAATCCCTCTCATGCCTCAACAGACATCGGGGATGGGCAACTCTGGGACTTTCTTGAAGCATGAGA